GGTGGATGGTGTTTCAATGCTTTTGCTTGTACCATTGCTTCCCCTTCTGATGTACACCCCACAGTCCAGTGGTCAGCAAACTCATTAGTCAATAGAGCCAAATATCAACAGTACAACGATTGAAATTTCTTTTGAGAGCCAAATTTTTTAAACTTAAACCACATAGGTAGGTACATTGTTATTAACTTAATTAGGGTACTCCTAAGGCTTAAGAAGAGCCAAACTCAAGGGGCCAAAGAGCTGCATGTGGCTCGCGAGCCGCAGTTTGCCGACCACGGCCCCACACCAAACCTTCTCGGACAAAGTATTTCTAGTCTGCAAGGATCAGCTGAAATATTGGTTCTGCCTGCAGTTGTCTCATCTTCCCAGCCTCCTCTTCCAGCCAGGCTCCCAGAGTAGCTTGTTTTTCCCCCTGTTCCAATCTGTGCACACACCTTACATTCCTACAAACTTACAGGAGCTTTGTGCTTTTCATCTCAACCACAGCTGTGCCCCGGCACTGCAGGTGCCCAGGACGCATTCGGTCAATTTAACTCCTTCGTGAGGAGCCAAACTTGGAGTATTTCCTTTTAAAGAGCTGCATGACAATGTCAAGGACTCTGAGCCCAGGTCCTCACTTTACAGCTGAGGCAGGACAATGGGTGATGGGACTAACATCACCTTTGCCATTCCAGGTGAAGGTGCCAAGGCTGGAACCTCCCAGAGCAAGCACGTCAGTGCCACAAGTTCTCAACCCTGCTGCACAATCAAAGGGCCTGGGCTGCTTCTAAAAATGCCGAGTCACCCTCCCACTCCCACCTCAATGAATCAGCATCTCCTGGGGTGGGACCAGAGGCATCAGCAAGTTTAGAAGCTCCCCAGGTGAGTCTGTGCCACAGCCTGGGATGCGAAACTGGGCTAGAAATCAAGCAAAATCTGAAACGCAAAGTGTGCTCTTCCTTTAGGCTAAAAAGAAGCTGAGAGCCAAATTGGGGGCAGCCCTTCAAGCAATTTCCAGTACCTTCAGAGTCCAGATCACAAGTTCAAATACCTTTAGAGTCCAGGCCAGCAACGGAAAGGAAGAGGTCTGGGCGGGGGAGACCATAGAGTCCCTGTCCTCTCCCGTTGCCTGTGGACCGATGGAAATACACCCCAGTGATGTGCCAGATCTTTTGACTTTTCAGGAGAAGCTGAAGAAATCGGTATTTTTATATGAAACTGCCTAATTTAAAAAACTTTGACAATTGATGGGGGGGAAAACTATATTTATCAATAAATAACACAATAAAGTAAAAAAAAAATTGGGGGCAATTAATTCAAATTTTAAAAAAGCTTTGAGTTGGTCAAACAGAACATGCTCCCAAGCCTCCGTGTGGCGCCCAGCAAGGACTTCCCGGTATTCATTCGGGATCCAGTTTCATTCCTGTTCCCATCCCTTTTCTTTTCCCACTTTCTAAGTGGCCAACTTTTTCTCATTTTATGTTGCAAGAGTCCTTGTTGGAACAAGCTATAACAAATTAGAAAAACAATTTTAATTCTGGTGCATATTAACTTAATTGCTTATGTTTAAATTTAGCTCTTTTACTACTAAGATGTTAAAAGAGAAAAAAACTCATGGATACAGACAACAGTGGAATGATTGCGGGGGTGGGTGGGTGGAGGTGAAAGAGGGCACGGGGGGTGGGGGGGATAAATGGTGTTATAAAAATATATATAAAATAAAGATAAATAAATAAATACAAAGGCAACAATCAAAGCCACAGTCCAGGATCCCTTGCACCATTTCTCTCACAGGTAACCTTGATGTGCAAAATCCTGATTTATAAGCCCACCTTGTAAGAAATCATCTTAAAAAGAAACAGATTGAAGGCAAGATGCTGTTATCACTTTTAAAGGGGGCCTGAGTTATTTCTGCAGTATTTGAGACTTCTTCCCAACCCCTAAAGAATTCAAATACCTTATGAGCTACTTTACCCATCTTTTCTCAGACTGTGGTGGGGTGTGACACCAAAAGCTGGGTGCCTAAGGAAACCACGGTGAGGGAGAAAAGCGGGCGTAGTTCCTTTCCATGTCACCACAGCTGCTTCTCCACCCACATCCACCAAAGCCCAAGGGACTGTCGGGACTTGAAGAGATTACAAGGACAGGTCCAGCAAGGGCTCCCAGCTCTCTCTTGCCCCGTGAGGTGTGAACAGTGCTGGGTGTTGGAAGAGGACTGACTCCTCCTGTGCGGGACAGGGATTAGAAGGATCTGCTCCTACAACTGAATGCAAGGGGAGATTTTCCCAGGAGAGGCCACAATCAACATGAGGAGGGCGTGTGCCCCGTGGCGGTGTGCATTCCATGCAGGAGAGGGAAATTAGGAAGAGGATGCTGCGGACGATGGGCCTATCTTCAAAGGCCAGAGAAAGTCCTCTTTCTTCATTATACCCTACTCAGCCAAGTGCATTTCCCCACACGTATTCGAGCCTTAACACTGGAGTCACAATGAATTCATCCACATCAGGCTTCCTTTTCAGTCTGGGTTGCCCCAGGAATATTACTTTCATCCAATTTAAACAAGAGACTGTCACGCAATATGCTTTCATCTTGAGATTTAAAATCAACATTTAAAAAAGTCAAACGGCCCTAGCCGGTTTGGCTCAGAGGACTGAAGGGTCCCAGGTTCGATTCCGGCCAAGGGGCACATGCCTGGGTTGTGAGCTCGATCCCCAGAAGGGGGCATGCAGGAGGCAGCTGATCAATGATTCTCTCATCACTGATGTTTCTCTCTCTCTCTCTCTCTCTCTCTCTCTCTCTCTCTCTCTCTCTCTCTCTCATCTCTCTCCCTTCCTCTCTGAAATCAATAAAATTTAAAAAAAATGGTCAAATGACAAAATTAACTGAAGCACAAAACCAAGTAAGGGAATTAACACTTTAAATTAGATTGCCACAAAGACTATGAAGGCTGTAAATAATCAGTGATGATAAGGACAGTTCTTCTCATCTCAAAGGGGTGACAGACCTGCAGAGACCTTCCTAAGAAAACAGTGGCAGAGAAGGAAGGTAGACCAACCGGCCACACTCCTACCTGAGAGGTCACCAACTCAGGTCCTCATCCAGTTTCAACCAGCCACCAAAGCAGACTAGATACTAGGCCTGGGACAAAAGAAACCGACCAGGGTTCCACCTCCTCTCTCCCTGGTTGGGTTGCTGACAAGCAGAGAAAGGAGAAAGGAGAGAGGCCATGAAAGAACTTTCCAAATGGCCTGTGACAATAACCCTCCCTGGACAACCACATTATATCAGGTCACCTCTCCCTGAAACCCAAAGCATCTAACAGACACTGTCATTGTAAGCCTCCCTAGAGTACGTGATGGGAAGAAGGCAGATACCAAGACCTCCACTTAGTCAGAGGAAGAAGAAAGCAAGCACGTGTGTGTGACAAAGTGAGAGCCGCCTATTCATTCAGGCGAGGAGAAAACTGCAAAGGCCATAACAATATAAGACTGGCAACTGGCAGGGCTCAACCCCAGATTGGTAAGTAGGCACTGTCCTGCGTTTTGCTCTGTATTAGATGCCCAGCATTATGCCAGCACAAAGCCGGTGTGCTGCAAATACCTGCCGAACACTGAGCATGGTGACTCTATGCTCAGCACTAAGCAAGCCACGATGGGCACACCAAGATGAAGATGACACGGAAACTTGCCTCACAAGACCTTGAAGCCTACATATTCGTGAGGTACACAACCATAACTCTTACCTAAAAGCAAGTGGGGACAACTACTTAATAGAGTGCAAAGCTCCCTGGGAATAAGGAAGAGGAAGGGTGACTTTCCATTGGGAGTATCTGAGAACACCTGTTGGAAAAGGTTAAGAGAAGAAGCAGGTCGTGAAGGAGAAGAAGGGCTTATGCTAATAGGTAAGGGAAAGACGTCCAGAGGAAGAGAACAGTGCTCTGAGCAAAGCCACTGAGAGGGGAACAGGACAGAGTGGGCCTGGGGAATGGCAGCTGGGAGGGTGCAGGGGACCGCACCTCTTTCATAGCTCTTTGGGCAGACCTGGTGTCTTGCTACTTGGAGCCGTGGAAGCTTGGAAGGCTCACCATGATTTCTGCACGCACGAGGACTGGAGAGACAGAAATAGACCCTGGATTCTATCAAAATAAGGCCAAAACCAACAGCTCAGAGTTAAGAGAAGGGAACAGAGATTAAAGTGAGTGAAAGATAAAATGGTTGGAGAGAAAGAAAAATAACAAAAGTATAGAAAGCTGAATGATCCTTAATCTTGCCAGCCACCCTTAGCAAAACAAAATCACAAAGCAGAGAGAATGAGGCAAAGACAGACCAACTTTCGCAGGCCCTGAGGACTGGAGCGTTCCACAACAGGGAAACAGCTGCCTTTACTGCCACACACATGTATGTGCAGTCACTTAAAAGCCAGCTGCGGAATGAATGAACTGGCTGAACTGAAGTATTTCTCCCGAGTTCTGAGTTATTCCTTCTGGGAGTCCCCAAATGACACCCCGATTTAAATGCACCACTATTTGGAAAGTTTACTTTTTCATCATCCAAGTGTCCAGAAGACAGACCACCAAAGAATAACACCCCAGAGGAAAAGCCCCGGCTCGGGGTCCCCTCTACCTTTCTGAAGATGTTCTGGTCTTGGGTTTCTTCACTTAAAAGCAGTATCCAGAGGCGGCGTAAGTTCCAGCAGCTTTCTAGTGCCCAAAGAACGTCTGCGCACCCTTCCTCAGAGATCACACAGTGAGTGTGTGTGTGTGTGTGTGTGTGACGCAGGAGAGTGCAGAAGGCAGTGCTCAGGGTCTGGGATTCCTTACGGGACAGGCTGGCAGAGCTTGTGATGTGACCGCTTCCCCTCACACGGCCAAACAGCTGTTCCTGAGGCAGACGTGGAAAGCGTGGTGCTAATGGAAAAATCTGGTGGCATAGGACTTGGGTGTTTTGCAATGTTTTCCTGTAGGCTGCCGCTGCATTGGTCTGACATGCAAACCATTCCCTCCTCCCCTCCCAGCCTACAGACTTCCAGGTCTCCACCCCGAGTGCTATAAAAACCAGTGTCTCATCGAGCTGATTCACCCCTGGAAGGGGCGGAGTCCTGGTGAGGGTTCATGCTGCATGGAGCCGGCAGGTCTTCTGCCTCCTCTGCCAGGCCAGAGAAGACAAACCCCTCTTTGTCCTCACGGTCAGAGGGGACCATGCCAAATGGGCTGCCTCAAAAACATGTCCCTGGTGTGCTCCTGATCTGAATAAAGCATCCCAGCCACTGGATCTGAAATGCCGGGGGAAAGGAAATAAAATTGCTGTACCTTGGAGGGTATGTGGAATGAGATGAGGGGGATACTGAGAGCAGAGAGAGAGAGAGTGAACTATGTTGGGTGTTAGTTATAAAAACGCCAGCGCTGATGCACACGGACTAAGGTTTTAAAGGTATGAATCAGCTGGATTATGGATTATTAGAACTGTCACATCTGTCTCCCCTTTTTATATTTCTAGTCTGGGAATATTCTCCCTTTCTTCTTCCAAGAGACTCTTAAATGTGCCTTCCGGAGAGAAACACTCCTAGTGCCTTAGCCTGATGGGCAATGGATGCCAGAGGAAAGGACACCAGAACATGGGCAGGGATGGGAAAACCAGGCAGGACAAGCTGAATCAATGTTTTCCCAAACTAATCTGCAAAGCTGATGGGATTTATCAACTAAACCAAACACTGTGAGGCTAAATTTAGAGAATCGCATGACTGTCTCTTGATGCTACCTAACAGAAATCTCGTCCAAAATATAAAAGACCCCCTTCAAGAGAAAACTTTTCCAAGTAACTAAAATTGTGAAAAAGAACCTAAAATAATCTCAGTACTTGTGACTATTAATAGCTAATGACTTCCATGAACTATTACTCTAGTACCAGCTCCTTAACAAAGTAAGGATTCACATGTCAAATTGCAACCACGGCCACAACCTTTGGTCCAGCTGGGGGAAATGTCACGGACCACTCAAACGGGGCTTGTCACAAACATGACGGAGCAGGAGTAATGCAAAGGTTTAACTTTCAGGATAAGAACAAACCCCATGACTCCAACAACCTGTCCCTCGGCCCAGCTCCCCCACCTGTCAACAGTTCTGCTTTTCTACCTGTTGGTTAGAAAGGCCTTCTGAATATTATACACTATTGTTTAACCTGAATTTTCAGCCATGGCTTGCTCCCAGAACTGCTAGGATTAGAAATCTAGTCACAATTTTTTTTTTTTTCCAAATCCTCAAAATAGCAGCATGCTTATTATTTTTAAGCTGTGAGATCACGAAGGTTATACATACAAATGGGCCGCACAGTTTAAAAACTTCTCATTTTCAGGCTTCACAGGGAACTACAACCCCAAAGCAGAACCAGGCTTTGCCTCTAAAACACGAGCATAGTCCTAAAGCATATGGAAATGAGTAAGCCAGTTACAGCTCACTCCGAAAACATCCCGCAGAGAAGCCAGGAGAGGAAAAAGGGAAACACCAATTTATTTTTAATTAGAATTTCGAGACGTGTTGGAATGGCTCTTATCAAATCTGATTTCCTGGCTGGGTCTTCCTTGAGGTTTTTATTAGAGAAGTCTCCTCAATGCAATTTTAATTAAAATCTGTTGCCAGAAAAGAGCAAGAATTCACTACTCCTCTGAATTTGGGAACTCTGCTAGTATTTTTCGTGCCAGATCAAAACAAACAGCTTTTTTTTTTTTTTTTTTTTTTTTAAATAGAAAAGGACCCCTGAGCAGAAACCGAGAGCTTCGGTCACTCATTCCCTGAGCCCATACAAACCTTTCTCAGAAACGACACAGAGGAGATGAGCTGGAATTATCCAGCTCACAGGAAGAACGCAAACCCTGGGAAAGGAAGCTGGTGAGTTACACTCTGAGGGGCTGAGCTGGCTCACCCAAGTCCTTCAAGAAAGAGGGGAAGTGCACAGTCAGAAGCCAACGCCAATACTCACGATGGGAAGTCTGTGGGTGAGCAGGCACAGGACACCCACGTCCTTGGAGGAAGGGCTGTTCTAATCCTTTGCCCCATGATGCAAGCTTAGAGTGACAGCAGCAGCTCAAGTCCTCAACACAGTGGACCTCCCTGTGGGGTTTTCATTTGGGGTTTTTTTCTTTCTTGTTGGCACCCACCAAGCATCTAGGAAGACGTCTCCAACCAGAGGGTATCTTTGCCCGGCACCCTACCCTTCCTATACTTCCTACACTCGCTGGAAGTACCTGCCTCCGCCTGGCTGGAGAGATAATCACCTGCCTGAAATCAGACGCTTAACCCATTACGACCCGCTCAAGGTTTGGAGCAAGAAAGCGTATTAGGTGAAGCTGGCCTATGGCTTGATGAAAACTCAAGCCCTGTAAACAGGCAAGCCCCGAGCAGGCAGGGACTCTTGAGAACCTCTGAAGGGGCTGCATGCATCCTGGGGTTTTGTTTAACCAGACAGGCAGGGCACCGAAACCCAGGTCTCCTGTTTGTAGGTAGTCTCAGCATTTCCACCGCTAGGAGATTCAAGGATAACGGCTTTTTACTTAAAAAATGTAACTGTCTTCTCATCCACCATCACTGTGAGAAAATGAATTATCCCATTGATAAACTTCAATGTGAAATTAGCTTTCAATAAACGAACAACGAACAGTTTCTTTTAAAGTTGAAATGCACAATCTAACTAAATTCAATTATTAAATGCATATAAGATATTGGATATATTTTAATTTCCCTCTCTAAAATAATTCACACTAAGAGAAAATAACTTAGTAACATAACCCCTATCAGAAAGGACATTTTATTCTTAACCATGCTACTTCTGGGTTTTATACATTTTCTGAAATTACATACTTCCCCCTGGAGCTGTTTAATCAGAACTTCACGGACACCACACTTCTGATTTTAATGTCAATGGAATGCCGTAAGCAAAGAAAAGAGACTCTCCATATTGAACGTCTGGCTTAGCCATTAACTGTGTGAGCTGGACAAGTCATGTTTTGTCACCTAAAAGTCGGGCAGGGAGATTGGACAGGTAGAATCTAAAAGACCCCCTCCCTCCTCTAGCTCTCACAGGTTTTTGTTCCACCCTCTCAGCGCTCCCGATACGCCACTGAACACACTGCCGATGGGAGAATGCAAAGCACAAGTAGCAACACACATTGGATCCTTTTGCACATGGAACCAGGAGACCCCGGAAGGTCATGCCAGCTACCCACAAGCCGAAGCAGCCCCGGTTTCTAATCAGCTCACCCTCTGCCTCTGAACCAGCGCCGAGGCGGACGACACGCCGGGGACTCGCCACGGAGAACACACCACCTCTGCTGTGGCCGGAGACTCTCTCCACAGGTGGCCTCAGAAAACACCAGGGTGGTTCCAGCCAGACCAGTCAGTGCAAACTGGTCTTGCACTTGACAAACAGCAGGCAGTTCCTGCTGTCAGGGTCACCGCAGTGGGCTCAGAGTTCTGTTTGAGAAATACTCCTGCCCAGAAAAAATATTTACACAACCGAGAGTGGGCTGCAGGCGCTCCACCTGCGCTGCCAGGAGCCTCTGGCTCTGAGTGACCGGGGGTACCAGTGGCCTTTGTACCTCCTTGAAGATCAGCGTGGAGACAGAGCCTGGAGCCGAGTAACTGACAGGCTCACGTATGAAATGTATTCTATTAATTTAAAATGACAGCCGCATTTTCATGCAATTCAATAAAGACTTGAATAAGTAAATAATGTTATCTGTCTCTGGGGGGAAATGTATATATTTAGGCTGTGAAAGAGAAACAGCAAAAGAGGGCAAAACGGCAAGTAAACTAGTAAAGGCAAGTATTCGCAAAAATAAAAGATGGTGACGGCAGGCAGAAAAACCACTCCATAGCGCTCCTCTACTTGTTTCCTGTAACTGCTGGACTCAGGACAGCAGCACAGTTCCTGCCCCAGTGCCACAGCAACCCTGGCACATGGCACCCGCCCGGGTGTTTATTAGATCAGGAGCGCACGGCAGAGGCAGCAGGGGGGCAGTGATGTCCTCTGACATCGGACCTGCACCTTGCATCTTAAAAAAATGTTTTTTATGGCTATTGTTTCATTTTTTTTTCTCTCACAACAATCCTGTGAAGAAGGCAGGACGGGTATTATTATCTTCATCTGACAAATAAGCTACTTATTATTTGGCTTCTGCAGAGATTCTAAACTCTTAATTAACATTTCACAACATTAATTAGTGTTTAGAGAGGTATCAATCAGTGCCTCCAGTTTACAACATGATTCAGAAACTCGGGGAAAAGTGGACTGTCCCCATCTGAAAAATCTGCAGAAATACAGCAATTTTCCTAACCAAAGACCCCCCCTCCCCCATGTACTTCCTAATTAGCTATAAGAGAACAGTCATAATACATTATGATGCTCATTCTCATCACATTAAAAAATGACATTAGGGCCCTAGCTGGTTTGGCTCAGTGGATAGAGCGTAGGCCTGCCAACTGAAGGGTCCTGGGTTCGATTCCGGCCAAGGGCACATGCCCGGGATGCAGGCCCGATCCCTGGTAGGGGGCATGCAGGAGGCAGCCCATCAATGATTCACTCTCATCATTGATGTTTCTCTCTCTCTCTCTCTCTCTCTCTCTCTCTCTCTCTCTCTCTCTCTCCCCCTCTCCCTTCCTTTCTGAAATTAATAAGAATACATTTTTTAAAAAATGCCTTTAGGGTACTCTTAGTGATACCGTAATACAATGTTTAAAATTAATAAAAACAAAACTGCGTCAGTCATCAGAAGTCCGATGAAGGATCTGGTGAAAAGGAGGTCACACTGACAGTGACAGGGTGGGCAGGAAGGAAAAAGACGCAACAGGTCAGGTTTCCAGGCTCAGCAAATAAACAGAGGACACGCAGTTAAATTTGAATTTCAGGTAAGCAAAATACTTTTACAGGCTCTGTCCACAGAAAACCTCAACTTCCCCTCGAAGATAAGATTCTTTCTGCCTGTTTTGCTCATTGCTGTGTCCCCAGTGCACAGAACAATGCCTAGCACGCGGTAGGTGCTGAGTGATATTATCCATACTGATTTAAGCGAGGTGGTATGGGCATGGGTGCTTGCTATGTAACTAACCTCTACCCATTTTGCATGTCGGAAATGGATCCTAATAAATTTTACAAATTACAGTATTAACTAACTGCTCTTACTTTCAAATCAGCACCTTTTATCCAATCTACCTGAAGGACACACTGGGGAAGTCAGGATATAAAAGGACTTGTGACTCGTCCCTTACCCAATTGCAACTCTAAGCTGGGACCTGAACGTGGGGTGATCAGTCGTCAGATGGCTTTGCAGCCGAGGGCACGGTGTGGCCAGGTGGTGTTTTTTTCAGCTGCTCTACTTTTTTTTGTTTTATTCTTAAAACCATGAACAGTGTTTCTTTTGCCAGTGCCCTGACCCCAACTTCTCATGGGATTTCTTCTCAAGTTCTATGGAGCCCAAAGCAGTGATTTTTCAGGAGTGGGGGTTGGGGGGAGGTGTGGGAGGACCCCTTTTGAGCATAACACATCTAGGGGAAGTACATATTTAATATTACACTGTATCTTTGGAAAATAAAAATAAAAATCATACCAATTACTCCACATTTAAAACTCCTACTAAACTACCCAAATAATTTATCTTTTTCTCAGGGGAAAGATTAGTAACCGGCCTTCACTAGCTGCCATAAAGCCCTCTTCATCCCATCTTAATCTGAGGCCTGTAAATTTCATGTTAATTTCATTTCAAAATAGTATATTTATAACGAGCATACACTTTTGCATTGTTTGAATTTGCCTGAAAAAACAACCAACAACAGTGGGTATTTGTTTTATAATACAAAATGGGAAAGGAAAAGGTAAAATTATTTTTATAAGCACAATCTTAGCTATGTGAAATATAGGGTGTTCCCAAAAAAATGTATACACAAACTTAGAATAATTATAAAGGCAGTGTTTATTAAAATATATTTCATTTTCAAAATTGAGCTATTAGCTGTTAAAGTATACACTGTATATACATTTTTTGGGGGACACCCTGTATATAAAATTTAAAGACTATATGAAATTACTACTAGTAATTCCTGCTTTATTTTTTTAGACAATGCTATACATCTATATTTTTAAATGTTCTATACTGAGCATCATATATATGTATATGTGCTGCCATGTATATTCAGATACAATGTATATATATTTTGATAGCTGTAAGTGTGGTTAAAGTAATTATGTACGACTGAGCCTCTAATCAGATTTGCTTACAGGCTTGCTGAGGTCATGGTGACGAGAATAAACAAAAGCCTTCCCTTGCCTGGTCCAGATACCTGTGTACATGAACAATCCATACCCTGAAGCCCAGAAGCCGCATTAGAGAGCTTTCCTTCGCATTCAAACTCAGTGCCCAGGCCCATAGGCAGGATACAGGGGAAGAGGAAAGGTTATAGCTGGATCGTCAGATTTCGGGAACAAGAGAAAACAGAAATCTCAGGAGAAGTCAAGTTGGACAATGAATTAGGGACAAATGGAGTAGATGTCTAAACCCTTGAAGACAGATATTGTCAGAGACTCCAGAGGGTGGAGGTTGGAATCCCCCCTCCCCTCTCCTCCCCTCCCCGAACTCCAAGCCCCACCTTCCTCTGAGCGTGGGAATGGAAGTGAGGGCAGGGAAGGAAGGGAAGGAAGATAACAGCATCGCTAGATTGAAACCTGCCTACAACTCTCAAGAAATTTCACAATGGACCCCCACCCTCCACCCTCTACCACCCCACCCACCCCCCACCCCCATTCCCAGAGCTCTGGATTCCTCAGAGAAGCCATCGCCCCAGAGCTACACTCCCCCACCAGCCCTACATTAAAAGGAAAAAAAAAAAAAAAAGAAATTCCACATGTTTCAGTCTCCTTCCTTATCAAATATTTCACTAGAGAAACCAGTAATAATCCTGACTTTTCTCACTTCACTTAGGTAACTTACTGAGCTTCCCTGAGCTACCACATAGGGATGATAGTGCTGGCGATGATGAGAACAATGTAATTACACAGCGTTCCTACGAGGATTAAGTATATAATGCAGGCAAAGCATCTTGGTCACTGTAGTGTTCATTACATGTTAGATACTGTCATTCATATTTATTGCTGACAGCAGTCCTGAGCAAAATTTAGAGAAGTCCCAAGAAGTTGGGCAGTAGAAAGGACAAGCAAAAGAATGGGCAAAATAAACAACTGACTTTATTTGGGTTTGGTTTTCAGCAAACTAAGCATTCTTGCCAGAGCGGATACTTCCAGCTCGGATTGCTGGAATAAAAAGTCACATATGTAGGCGCATACAAACATAAAACTCAAAATAGACTAAGGACTTAACTGTAAGACCTAAACCCACAAAACTCCCAGAAGAAAACATAGGCAGTAAACTATTTGATATCAGTCTTAGTAACATATTTTTGGGTATGTCTCCACGAGCAAGGTAAACAAAAGCAAAAATAAACAAATGGGACTTCATCTAAGAAGCTTCTGCACAGCAAAGGAAATCAACAAAACAAGAAGACAACCTACAGAACGGGAGGATATATTCGCAAATGATATAGCCGGTAAGAGGTTGATATCCAAAAACGTGTAAGGAACTCACACAACTCAATAATGAAAAAATAAGCAATCCTATCAAAAAATGGGCCGAGAACCTGAAGAGACAGTTCTCCGAAGAGGACATACAGATGGCCAACAGACATAGGAAAGATGCTCAACATCACTAATCGTCAGGGAAATGAAAATGAAAATCACAATGAGATTCCACCTCAGGCCAAAAAGTCAATAAGTAACAAGTGCTGGCGAGAGGTGTACTGCTGGAGGGACCAGAAATTGGAGCAGCCACTGTGGAAAACATCATGGAGATTCTCCAAAACTAAAACAGAACTATCATGTGACCCAGCAATTCCACTTTCGGGGATTTACAAAAAAAGGGAAAACACTAATTTGAAAAGATACACACTCCCCTATGTTCACTGCAACATTATTTACAATAGCCAAGATATGGAAGCAACTGAGGTGTCTGTCAATAGATGAATGGGTAATGAAGATACGGCACATATAGACAATGAAATATTACGCATCAATAAAAAGGAATGAAACCCTTCCCCTACTTGCAACCACATAGATGGACCCAGAGGGTATTATGCTAAGTGAAAGAAGTCAAAGAAAGAAAAACACAGCATGATTTCACTTATATGTGGAATCTTTAAAAAAATCAAGACAAGAAACAGACTTATACAAATAAGGAAGAAACTGATGGTTGCCAGACGGGTGGGAGCAGTGTGGGGTGGAGAGATGGGTGAAAAAGCTGAAGGGGAAATAGTCAATAACAGTGACAAATTTGCACAGCGTCAGATGGTTACTAGACAGTGTGGTGAGCACATCGTAAGATGTATAAACATTGAATCACTAAGTTGTACACCTGAAACTAATGTAATATTGTCTGCCGACTACAATAAAATAATGATTGCTTTGGGGGGAAAAAAGTCACATACGTGGGCTGGATGTGCCCACTTCAGGTCTCTTCTTTCTGCTGTTACCTGTAAAAGGACCCCTCTTCGTTTTACAGTTTACATACTGCATTTGTTCTATAAATTTACTCAAAATTTTATATAAGCAATATTGGGATATGCAAACTATATAGGTCTCCACTGTAACCACGGTGAGAAGTAGAATGTGAATCTTTATGATTCAGAACATGGCTTGCTGCATATTCCCCTGGCAAAGTCACTTTGGAGAGCATACCCTTCTCTTGCCCCCTCCCTTTCCCTTTGTGCAGCAACATCAAACACAACTGCTCAGGAG